TTGACAATAGTATAATGATGGTTTTCAATCACAACATGCATCCTATTAGAGAAAAACTAAAGATTGAACTGTCTTTGGGGAAAGTACAAAAATAAAAGAGAAAGAACTGAAAAAATAAAAACCACCAACATGCTACTGATAAAAGAAAGACTGTTACAATCAACATGAAACTGCATTCACATGCCGTTTTACTTCTATAAGGTGATGTTTGGGGTTAGCATGATTTTTAATGTTTTTGAAAGAAGTCTGTTATGCATTTATTTGATCAGTTGTGAAATACTATTTTAATTTAGAAGAACTGTTTTCTGTTTGATTATATTTTAAAATGCAATTTATTTCTGTGATGCAAAGCTGAATTTTCAGCATCATTACTCCAGTCCTTCAGTGTCACATGATCCTTCAGAAATCATTTGAATAATATTATAATCAGTTGTGCTGCTTAATATTTTTTTCAGGACTCTTTGATGAATAGAAAGTTCAAAAGAACAGCATTTATCTGAAATGGAAATCTTTTGTAACACTGTCATTTTTTATGAATTTAATGCATCCTTGCTGAATAAAAAATATTCAATTCTTAAAAAGAAAAACTTTTGAACAGTAGTGTGAGAAAACAGATATTCAAAGGTAAAAAAGAAAATAGGCGGCACTTAATTGTATAAGCTGAGAATTGATTGATTCATGAAACCTAGTGTTAATGCTGCATTTCAAAATTTGTTATTATTCGCCATTATTGCAGTAATTTTTATGACAATAATGTTTATTGGCATTAAATTACTTTAAGTCTTACCAAGATTTTAGAAAAGCTGCAATACCTACACCATTAAGGTGATGCAGCTGAAAGGGAAAGTCACTGAAAAAAAACTAAAGCAAACTAACTTTTTTTTTTAATATTAATTTTAATTTATACAGGTCAGTTGATGCTTTCTGTAGAACCAATAAACAAACAAACACACACATATATAGTCTCTTAAAACAGGATAAAATCTCATACAGGTGCAAAACCCAGGTAGATGTCTAAACTAATTATGAATGAGCATGTGACCCCATCACAGGAAGCAAATCAAGAGGGTTTCTTCATGTTCAGCTATTTCCAGCCGCGGTCCAACACACACAAACAACAAGAAAACAAATAAAATCAAATGGATGAAAACAGACCGGATGGAACACGTCCAGAGCTCCTCGGTTCTATTACGCCGTGTGTTTACAGCTGCACTTCTTGCAGATTTAAATGAAGCTAACGGGTCGCTGTGTCCCGACCAGCCCATCTGCACACTGAGCTCTGCTTAAATGAGGGATTAAACGAGGGGAAATCACTATCTCTACCTGCCATCCACCACAGGTGACACTTCTATAAGCTTCATTCTCCTCATAAACACAAACCTTTGGCTCCTTGACAGCCCCATTATTACACTCGCAACACACACACTACACAAACATATCCCACAAATCCTGCTGAGGCTGAGAAAGCTGAAAGCTTTTCCAGGTGCTTAAACCTACAAACACACACAGAGTTCAAAAGCGAGAATTTAAATAGAGAAACTTTATCCACAGAGAGAGAGAAAGAGGCACTGCGGCTCACAGCACGGCACGTGATGCTTCAACTTCTGCAAGAAAATATATCTCTGTGGGAGAGTGAAGTAAACATCAATGAAAGCCAGAAGAGAGAGAAGCACTGCAGTAAATCATTTTCTTAAATCACTTTTTGTTTTGTTTTTCAGTAAAAACATCTTTAAAGCAAGATATATTTACTGAAGAAGCAAAATTGCATATGATATTAAGACTTGTTTCCAGAGAATATATATAGATATAGTCTCTGAAAACAAGTCTTAACTTATTTCTTTAAGCATAAAACTAAGTGTTTAAGTGTTCCTTAAGCTCAAACAGTAGCGCACGGCACTAGTAATGGCAAGGTCAGGGGTTTGATTCCCACAATATATTTACTTAAAAAACAAGATTAAAATACAGATTCAGAATATTTTTAATGAGCTCCATTACAAACCCTAGTAAGTATGCATGCTAAATATAGTACACAAGTTGTTCAAAAAGGTCTACCATTCAAAAGTATGGGGTCTTTAAAAGACTTGTTTTTAATGTTTTAAAGTCATTAAGGCTTTATTTAATCAAAAATACAGTACCAACAGTAATATTGTGAAATATTATTACAATTAAAAAAAACTGTTTTGTATTTGAATATATGTTAAAATACTTTTTTTTTCCAGCAATGCAAAGCTGAATTTTCAGCATCATTACTCCAGTCTTCAGTGTCACATGATCCTTTAGAAATCATTCTAATGATTTGCTGCTAAAAAAAAATATTAAAAAATCAAAAGATGGCAGATGATTTGAAAGAAATGTTCATTTTAAATATATTTAATTCACTACTAAAAGGTATGAAAAATAGTTAAGAATGAACTTTTCACCAATGTTTGTATGCATATTTTTATATTTATTAGAGCATTACGTTGGTACATTGGTATCACTATTTGTGCATTAACTCTTATATAAATTTGCTAATGCAGATGGACAACACACTTGAGATTGATCAGCTCGATCCTTTGTTTTAAACCTGACACCAATCCGCTCCACTCAATGTCAAAATCTGAACTACTTTTCGCTGTCATGAGCTGATATAAATGGGAATGCTAACAGATCGATTCCACCAGGTATTATAGACCTGTCTTAATTAAAGTTCATAATAAAAAAACACAGATGTCAGCTGCCTGTGTAGGCAGTAGACAGCAAGACAGCTCAGTGTGAGAGGAACAGAGAGAAGAAGAAAAATAAGGGAAACAACCCACAAGGTAGAGCTGAGGAAAAAGTGGGACAGAAAAACACGGACTATGAAGACAGTATGAGGAAAAAGAGGCAGTGATAGTCCGGATGGGAGTGTGTCTGAATGTCGTGGAGCGGCTGAGCTCTGCTCAATGACTGATAAGGGCTCAGAAAGCAGGACAGCAGCTCTGGCAGAGGACAATGTCTTTAAGGACACCAGCAGGAGACGGATGGACAGTAAACCACATTAAAAACACACCAACTCTCCTGTTCACTGACAGAGAGAGATGATGATGACAGGTAACAGAGAATCAGTCTCAGGGCTTTAATTCGAGAGGCTTTCTCATACTCTCTCACATCTACTGCTCGTCCTTGACCGTTTTTCACCTACTGAGCAGAAATAAGTGACCCATGAACGCTTCAAAGCAAGTTAGTGAATGCTGGGTAGTTACACACACCACAGTTAACATTGAGAAGGGATTTAAAAAAAAGAACAAAATACATTAAAAAAAGAAAAGACATAACCAGTTTGTTTCATCATCGGAACAGATTTTGAGAAATTTAGCATTACATGACTTGCTCACCAATGAATCCTCTGCAGTGAATGGGTGCCGTCAGAATGAGAGTCCAAACAGCTGATAAAAACATCACAATAATCCACAAGTAATTCACAATTTCTTACAAACACGTAGCTTGTCACTTCACAAGACATTATCTGATTAACTGGAGTCATGTGGATTATTGGGATGTTTTTATCAGCTGTTTGGACTCTCATTCTGACGGCACCCATTCACTGCAGAGGATTCATTGGTGAGCAAGTGATGTAATGCTACATTTCTCCAAATCTGTTCTGATGAAGAAACAAACTCGTCTACATCTTGGATGGCCTGCAGGTGAGTAAAAATTTAGCAAATATTCATTTTTGGGTGAACCATTCCTTTAAATTAAATAAGAAACTGCAAAACATCTAATAATTTACCACATAAAATCTCACAGCAATAGTAAATAATTAAATCATACAGCTCTCTGGACTACTCAATTCTGATTAATCAATCATAGCATTTGATGTCATTTTTTTTTTATGATTCTAATCACTCCACACTCTTATTTCTCACACAAAGAAGTAATTTTAACTGGAATATTTAATGTGCATTTATTTACTTAGTATGCTGCCGTGCAATAAGCAGAATAATGCACAGTCATCTAGTCATGATTGAAAAATAAACACCCTCAGGATGAAACAATACTTGCTGGGGTTTAATTAGCCATAATGACCAGCTGACTGAACATTATGCCTTAAATTAAATGAAGGGCAATCATTCAAATGTCAAATACTGAGCATTTTTACCCTTGGAAAGGTACAATTAATGTAGTGCATGAGTTCAGTAGTCTCTAAATCAGGCACTCAGTGCGTTCAGAACTGAATCCCATAGGTCAAACTAAACCTCCAGACTGCATTCGCTCCAGTGGGAAAGACTCTATGCTCTCCTCTCTTTCCCTGGAGGATGTTTGCAGTTCAAAAAGGCATTAGGTTACAAAATCAACTTCTCCAGCCAATAAAAAGGTCAAAGCAGAGTATGAATCACTGGGAGGAAGCAGACATTTCAAACGCCCACTTCCTTCACGGTATCTGCTACGGTTAGAGATGGGAATCGTACAGAATTTAACATTTTCAAATGATTCCAGAATCCTTAACAATTCCTTTAACAGTTCTATTTTTGAACAATATTTGAGAAAATAATTGCATCAGCATCCTGATGTTAAATAACATTACGGACTGCAACGTAACAGTAACAACAATAATAAGAAACATTGAAAATGTATGATCCCTTCACATTTATTCAATATAGCAAAAACAAAAATGGCATCCATCTTCATTGCAAACCATCACATTCAGTATGAAGCAAGCAACACAACTGTTTTCAACATTGATAATATTAAAAATGCTTCTTGATCAGCAAATCAGCATATTATAATAATTTCTGAAGGGTCATGTGACACTGAAGATTGGAGTTTTGGACCTTTGCATCAAGGGTATAAATTACATTTTAATATATATGCAAACATAAAACAGCTATTTTAAATGTAAAAATATTTCACAATATCACTGTTTCCAACTGTATTTTAATGGTAGTGTATGTCAATAGCAGAGATGCATAAACAAAAGAAATGAAACAGTCCATAACCATTAATGGAAGCAAAACATAAAACATAAAAACTTAAAACATACATTTTTGCCATTCAGAGCATGTTTGTTGAATATACAGTTACGTGGAGGAGGTTTTTTGACCAATGAGATTTCACTGTGGGCGGAGCTACTAAGCACTTTGTAATAAAGACAGAAACAAAGCAAAACACAAAATATCTTGTGACGCTCAGTGTGTTATTGCATCACGTCTGGTTAAGTCACACTGTTAGTGTCACTGATTAATACAGTAAGTGACATTTATCATAACTTTAAAACTTGTACACAGCTAATGTATCAAAACAAGAGAAGCTAAACTCTGAATTACACATTAAAAAAGCATGCAGAAATTAATTACTCTAAATCAGAAAAGGGTTTATTTTATTATTAACCAGATCTAAGCACTGAGATAAAGAAAAAACACTTACCAAGATAAATCAGCTTACAATTCACATTTCCAACAGGCTGATTAAACAAAAACGTCACGCGTAGCTGTGTTTAGATATGATTTAAAAGACTTTTAAGATCCCTTAAAGCTTTCAAGTGCATGAGGAGCTTACATCTGCTGTGATCTCAGTGAGGGGAGAGTTATTAATGATGTATCTTATCTCGTATTATTCTAGAGGTGAAGCAACGGTCAGGAACGGAAATTGCAAGATACAAAAAGAATTACACTCTCCATTATCTGTAAAGCTTTAGAAAAAAAACTGCATAGAGAATGAGAGGGATTATCATATGTATGCCCACAAGTCTTGCCATATGTTATCTGCACTATCAATGACCTCCCAAAAAATATAAAAATAATTTAATCGCATACACACAAATGAGTGAAAGTCAGTAGAGTGAGCCAAATCTCCATGTAAGCTCTGAATTCTCAACATTGACCTCATTCACAGTAGTAGAATTACCCAAAACCTTCTCCCATCGCTTTTTCTCTCATTTTATTTCTCCTTTTGGTGCGCAAAACTCAACTGCACCGTTTGTTCTGTACCTAAGTATGGCTTTGGTCCTGGTTCTGGCTTTGTATTCACGGTCTGGCCGAGCGTTCCTGATCCATAAAGGTGAAAAACAGACATACAGCGGTGGTGATGAGGGTGTGCATGGCCTCGTACAAGAGTTTTGGAGAAAACACGCTCCAGATGAAAAGGTGGTATCGGAGACCGGTGACCAGAACCACGTAAAACACATCTGGGATGGACCGCAGGAGTGCAAAGCAGTAGCTGCCATGACCGAGACCCATTACAGCCCTGAAAGAGAGAGAAAAAGACCAGAATAAAGATGTTCAGTCCGGTTATGGTCTGGTCTGAGTCTATAATATGTGTCATTATACAATGCTGTCATAAACCCGTGAGGTCTCATCGACTGTGGTTCATTCCTCGTTTAACGCAAATGGAAAAGCTATTACTTCCTTTACTAACCTTTGATTATGTGTTATGTCTCACAACAAACGTCTATGATACATTCATTAAGACAAATGTCACCTGCCATGGGCTGATGGCACAGCCATTAGCAGGCCTAGATGCAATAATCTGACACTCTAAAAGATAATGGGACCTTAATGGATTGGACTAGACTGGATCAGGCTGGCCTAGACTGCATTAGACTGGCATACACTTGACTGGACTATATAGGAAGGACTGGAATGGACAGAACTGGTGGATTTCTTTGAAATTACTACACTGCACTTAACTGGACAGGAGCTGATGATAGACTAGACTAGCCTAGACTAATTTAAAGTGAACTGGACTGGACTGGATTTGAATGGCCAGGACTGTACTAGTATGGACTGAATTGTGTTAGGCTAGGTTAGATGTCCTCGATTTATAAAGTGGACTGGAATTGATAGACTAGACTGAACTAGAAGGGATTGAACTGGACTAGAAAGGGAAGGATTGGACTAGCATGAACTGAAGTGGGCTAGGCTAGATTAAATGACCTCAACCTATAAACTGGACTGGATTTGATAGACTAGACTGTGCTAGATTACTTTGGAATGAATTGGATTGGACTGGACTAGAAGGGATTGAACTGGACTAGAAAGGGCAGGACTGGACTAGCATGAACTGAAGAAGGCTAGGCTAGATTAAATGACCTCAACCTATAAAATGGACTGGACTACCTTGCACTGAATTGGAAGTTGATGATAGACCTTAACCTATAAACTGGATTTGATAATAGACTGAATTGGATTAGACAACTTTGGACTGAATTGGATTGGACTGGGCTGGACTGGACTAGCATGGACTGAAGTGGGTTAAATTAGATTAGATGGCCTCAAACTATAAAATGAACTGGACTACACTGCAGTGAACTGGAGTGGAGTTGGTTTTAGTGGACTAGATTGACAGGGCTAGTCTACAGTGAACTGAATTAGACTGGACTAGAATGGACTGAACCAGACTGAACTGGACTATAATGGGCAGGAATGGCCATACATGGCCATACATAATCATAATCAGTATGGACTGAAGTGGGTTAGGCTAGATAAGATGGCCTCAACCTATAAACTGGACTGGAGTTGATGATAGACTGGATTTTTTTTAATTACTTTGGACTGAAATGGATTGGACTGGACTAGAATGGACTGAAGTAGGTTAGGTTAGATCAGTGGTTCTCAACCTTTTTTTCCACCGGCCGCACTATGGTCCAAGTGCAAGTCTCGCGGGCCGCACGCATATCATTTACATATTATGTCAGCAATACAAACCAACCTGATTTATAATATTATAGCCTAAATATTATGATATCTAATCGATTACATTCACTGAAATAAATAAATAATTCTACTCCCCATAAATAACACCCAATTTTGACAGCACAATCATAGGCGGAGTTTCACTTTTATGCGTGGGGGGGCACCCACTGGCAGAAGAGCCACTAGTACTTTTTTATATGTTCTACATTTCATGTATTTATGTAACACATATCCTACATTAAAAAATTGATTTAGAATGAACAATAACTGCTGTACAAAGAGTAAAAAAAAGAAAGAAAAGAAAAAAAAAATACCTAATGCAGAGAAAAGCCGCCTCTTTTTCCGAATTGCGCAGATGACCACTATCTTTTTCATCTCTTCTGATAAATTTTCAGTCAAATCGTTTTCTGTGTGCTAGATGAGAGCTAGAGCCCTGCATTTCAGCTTTCTGTGTGCTAGATCAGAGCTAGAGCCTTGCATTTCAGCCCGGGCCCGACGGGCCCCAACTTTTTTACGCCCCTAGGGCTGGGCTTCGGGACAATTTTCACGTCATAGTTCAGACGCGGGCAGGGCCTCGGGCCTGTTTTAGGCTTCTCCTTATTTTTATATTTTAAAAATCCATCAATTAGTGATGAAAAAAGATTGCCGCGCTGTTGGAAACAACACGAGACCGTGCTACCGTGACTGTCCAGAGCGGCTTGACTGTGTTTAGTGTCCCGCAGCAGCAGCAGCATGTATGGTGCGTGCCGTCAGCGCAGCTGAAGAGATCTGCGTTCAAATGCA